AAAGAAAATTGATTATTAATTACGTATATTCAGCAAAATTTAGCAAAATTTTTATATTTTAATTTTTATATTTCAAACTGTACAATTAATTAATTGAATTATTATTATTGCTACAAAATTAAGTAATAAAATAATAAGACATTCACATTAACTGAGGGCAAAGCTGAAATTTGTCTTGCGAAAAAATTAAAATTAATTATCTTTAATTGAAAAAAATGCAGTTTTGTTCCGATTTTGCTTACTTAATAAATTGGTCCTCAAATAATAATTAATAAAATAGAAAACAATTCACGCCACTTTTAATGAAAACTAAATTAAGATAATTATAGAGAATTACGCATTATTTATCAAATGCAGAAGCACGAAAGTAATATTTAAGAAAATAATTAGTAAATTAAAATTCTATAAATTTAGAGCTGCAATTGTTAAAATTAAAACAAATTAAAATTTAATTTGTTTAATTACGATTATTAACAAAACGTAAACCAAAAAAATGGAACTAAAGCCACGTTAACTAAGTACTCAATTAATGATTAAATAAAATTATTTCAAACAAAAACAAAATATTTTATGGAGATATTGAGAGAAACAGATTGAACTAATAATAATTAAATTAATTTCAACTGTAAAAACAGAGTCGATAAATTAAATTACTTCTACAGTTTTAAATTTGTTAAATTAGTCGAGGGTTGTGATTCTGCAAGTGTTTTAAAAATTATAAATTAAGAAAATTATTGAATTTTTCGATAAAGGGTTCTTACTACCTAAACAAAACTACCAAAAACTAAATTTCATTTGCTTAGTAAGTATGAAGATTTAACTAATTAAATCAAATTAAAGTGCAGAAACACTATTGATAAATTAATTTTTTTGTATAGTTCCAAATTTCAATAAATGTAATTTCTTAATTTTCAAAATTAGAAATGTCTGCTTGAAGCTGCATAATTAATTAAATTAAATTTTTGACATAAAAATAATTAACTAATTCAATTAAATTGCAGACATTGTTGCAAACATTGTTTAATTTTTTATAGTTCTAAATTCCAATAAATGTAATTTCTGTGGATAGAAATTCATCTCGGGCTGTAATTATGTGATTTACTATTACTATTACAAAAATTAGAAATAACTAAATAGATTAATCATTTGTTGAGCCCGAGGCGGAGCCGAGTGATTCAACAAACATGTGACTGTTATTTGAGTAAAAAAGTGAAAATTCTTTAGTGTGCAATTTGAGTGAATAAAGTTGTCACATTTCGCGCCAAAACGACAATTAACCGTTTCTCCCCTTTTCCCCCATTTGTCGCTTTCTTCGTGTGTCTTTTGCATGTTTGTTCGCACTCTCATTTGTGTGTCTCGTTGTAAAAATGTGTTAATAAGAGAACAAAATAACGAACGACATGATGGCATTATTTGGGGTATTGGCAATAAAATCATGTCTCGACGGTGAGTATTTTTCCACTTCCACATCAATAAACCACCCCAACACTCGGCTTCGAATTGACACCGCCCCAACATGGCGCGAATTTTATCAAAATTCGGGGGCGCATCTCAGCGGCGGTCGCGACATCCGTTTCCGGTAATATTTCACCCCCGCGAAATCAACACGTAACATCTTGGGCGGCGAAAAATTTTTAACACTCCAACACGTTTTAATTCCGTTGCTGTACAAATAGAGGGGCTGGGCCACCCCCGAGGTAAAAAATAATTCGATCAAAGCCCGGAACGAGTTTAATGAAACAATAACCCCCGACAAAAAAAAGAACGATTCACACGGAAGTCGAGTAAAACAAAAAAAAAATGCATGTCATAGAGAGGGGTTGGATGGGACGATTGTTTCAGGGGATGATGAAAAAATCTCAAAAATTAAACCCTCATGCAAATGAGCGCAGGTAAAAGAATAACACCGCGTGCGAGAATAAGGGATGCAAGGAACGAAGTGAATCCGAGAAGCGATTCTCACGAAAGGAGGCCTTTGTTTTCCGAAATTTTTTATGAGTATTTTGGGATTTTTATTGTTGCTTTGTGAGGGCTTCATTAACATATTAGGTGCGCTAAGACGATCTACGTGCACCAAGGGTGAGAAATGAAACAATGAGCACAGAAACAATAAATTAAAAAATCTAACAGTAGTTGTTTCAAAGACAAGAATTTTTTCTATAAAAAAACAAAATTCAAATTGTTTAAAAATCATGAAAACTTCAAGAAAAATATGTTTTTGACTTGAGCCTTGTCGATAAGACAAAAATATTACGAAATACGAAAATGTTTAAAAAAAGAGAAAACCAAACACAAATAAAAAAAACGAAAATCGTGTCAAAAACAAAGTTGACGTCTACAACTGTAGAAAAAATTTAATAAAAATAATAAAAAGAAAAAAATATAAATAATATTACAGTCATTATTTAAGATTAGAAAAAGTATAGTCAAAAACTCGTGAGAAATTGTCAACTTTCTCACTTGTTGAATAATATACTATTTTTTAAATCTAGTCCAAATGCAATTGATAATACTATATCCACAAATACTATCCACGTTTTATTTGACCGAGGCTAAGCCTAGTAGTAACATTTTTTTTACTTTCATAAAAATTAAATTAATTAAAATTAATTATATTAAAATATATTGTAAAAAATGTCACTTAAAATTTTAAAGCTACAGGATGTTCGAGAAATGAGTACAATACATAAAATATAAAGAACAATTTAAATAAGTTTTGTTCAAAAATCGCATTAAGTTCTTTTTTTTAATAAAGCTTAATTTTCAAATCACATTTTTACTGAAAAATTAATAATTTTTTCACACTTTGGTCGTATGTTTCTAGCCAAGGCAAAGCCGAAGATAATTGTAACTTCAACTGATTAATTTGGCTTAAATTAAAA